CAAAACTCCCTTTTCAAATAGCAAAACACCCTTTTCAAATAGCAAAACTCCCTTTTCAAATAGCAAAACTCCCTTTTCAAATAGCAAAACACCCTTTTTAAATAGCAAAACACCCTTTTCAAATAGCAAAACTCCGTTTGCTACCTCGTAGTCTGAACATACTTTTCAGAAACCTGTACTTTATGAACCTTATTAGTTATTTTAAAGACTAAGTACACATTAAGTACTGAGTTTGTTCCAGCGCAAGTACACGGCAACGACCATTGGCGTACCAGTCAGGTACGACTAGAAATCTTGAATGATCGCACCCTGACTACCAAATACCTAAAATATCCAAATGACTTTTGCCTTCAACTAGGTTGGTGAGGAACCGCCATACAACGAGATACATGTCCGACGGCGACGACGCTCTCGAAAGAAAAGATGACACGCAAAAACCAGGTGCTGGAATTGGAGAATTCAGCACAAAAATCAATGTTTCAAACAAAGCGTAAATATCAATCTTCATCTCAGTCAGTTGTGCTTGTGATAGATCCCGAGGATTTAATTATAAACTATAGAACTATTTGTCTAATTGGAAATTTGAGAATAAACTTAGTATTAGTTGTTGAATATGTAAATAAAGGAAAAATTAATGTGAAATAAATTAAAGAAATTAATTGTTGACTGTATGCCAATAAAGAAACACCAAAATTTATAATATACAGTAATTAACCATTTGCGTAATAGACAAAATTTTGATCTCAACAAGTCTAGACAAAAATTTCATCACAGCTTGAAAGAGCATCACAAAATTAGTAATATTCCGAAGTTTCGTTGCGAAATGTTGTAAAATACGGATAATATAGCCTTGCGAAGTTTGCAATTTTCAGTCCGAAGTTTGCAATTTTCAGTCATTTTAGATTACAAACGGGAAATTGATAGCCTCAAAGCGTATCGGGCTGTCAATTTCCCGTTTGTAATCTAAAATGACTGAAAATTGCAAACTTCGCAAGGCTTTATTATCCGCATTTTATAACATTTCGCAACGAAACTTTGGAATATTACTAATTTTGTGATGCTCTTTCA